GTTATTGGCACATAAAAACCTCCTTCTCTATATGAAAACATACACAAAATAGATAAGAACTGCCATTTTTTTCAGACTTTTAAAATCTATATATAGTTGCCTTTAAGGAGTTTTAACCCCCAGTATCACAAACAACAATATTTCTTTAACAATGTTCACCTAGATTTTACTGTGCTGACATTTGTAACACTGCCACAACCTAGACCACTTTGTGGATTATGCTTAACTGTACTGTACACAAGGCGATGAAGATCGATAGAAAACCACTAAGATCTTTGCACAAAAATGTGACTTGTTAAAATCCAGAGAATGATTGAGTCACTTTATAGGCAGCAGCTACATGTAAGCTGTAAATGTTACCCGCAATAAAAACACATTTTGCCATAAAGCACATATTGTGGCATTATCTGCTTCTGGCCTGGTACAAAAAGCTCGGTTTTCTTCCCAATGCAGAGGAATGGGTTTGGTTAGCTTGACTCTCTCAGAAAAAAGTGCACAAATATCTCGCTCTTTAAAGTGCTTTGCAGAACTCTCTCTTCTGCCTTGATTTCTACCCCGAGATTTCTCTATGCTGTGAAGACTCTGCTTCCTTCTCACGTAGTGATGTTCAGCTAACAAAGCCTCTTATGCCAGTACAAGTAAAATTTCAAGACCATGTTAGAAGAGCGTTGACACTGAGAATTAGAAAGCTGGGTATAAAGCTGAGAAGTACAGGCTCTATCTTCCATTAGCCCACTGCGTGTCTGCGGGACTGCACCCAACACCCTCACTGCGGAAGGGACGACCCTGGCTCAGGTCCTGCACCAGCCCCTGAAAGTCAAAACTTCTCCCCAGTGCTCAACCCCAGTGACTAAGAAAGGCAGAACAGATTTCACCGAGGAAAAAAGTACTAGCTTTGCAAACTTGGTTGCCATGTTCTCACCTCCAAGCGCGCATGGGAGAGGAGCACTTGTGTGCTTCTTGCCCCTGAGTCTGCATTCCTTTGCAGATGCCCCTTGTTCCCATCCACAGGACCAAGCACAGTCCCTTGGTCCCACCATCCTTCTCCCCCACGGGAGAGAAGTCAGACTGCTCCTTTTGGCTACGACACCCATCTCTACTGAAACACGACTTCGTGGGGCTTTTGATGCACCATTTCTTTCTTCTCCCCTCCCAACCCTAACTCTTTACACTAGTGAAATGCTGCATTTATCCACTCATGCAAAAGTAAGTCAGCGTTGGAACAATGATCCTTGGGATGTAACCTCTCTTATCCCAAAAATTTTGACAGGGCTGTCACTGCAACTCCCAAGGTAGCAACATCCACGACAGCAATCTATCCAAGGTGCAGTGTAGCAACGCAACGTCAGCCCTCACACGAGTCCTGGGGCCTGGCTTCATTTCTCTGTCTATTTTCAAAGTAGGTTTGCTTCTCTCAATAAAAAACTGATTTTGATCAAGAAAGTGACAAGGGGAAGGAACAAGTGGCAAATTTTCTCGACTCCCCCAAGACGTTAGATTTGCAACACGGTGAACAAACTACAATATGTGAATTAAATTTAAAAAGATTAAAAATGCATCAGGACTTTTTTCTTTGACACTTGCTCTTAGATAAAAATATGTAGAGTCAGTAGATTAATCAGAATTAAAATATCTCAAGTTGTTGTGTATAATCAATTCGTGCCCAGCTCTACCAGCAGTATTACTCTAGCATTCCTGATGCACAGAATACCTGAATGAAGTGTGCAGTCCTTGTGAAGAAACAATTTCACATCTTCTGCAGAAAGCTTTCAATAAAACCATATTGTGCTTAGACATACTATTTATGCTACTTCATAAATTAAAATCCTGTTATAAGAAATTATTCAGCTACACTGTATTTTTATTCTTTTATCTGGAATGTTACTAAGTCTACCCTTCGCAAAAATCTCTTAGAACTTAAAATACGCACAAATATAAAAAATCTCTGCAAAATAGAAACATTTATTTGATTTTCCTCATACATTATAAACGTTCACAGATTCTAAAAATAAAACCCTAATTGCGTAAGATTAATTTCAAGTATTTGATCTCATTTTTATTACACATGATGCTTAGTACTAGGTTCAGTGTTTCTAAGGTATGGAATATTATCTTGGTGTAAAGGAACCCTAAAAGGAAGACTTAAACTCAACTCTCTGTGGGCGGGGAAGGGGGAGTGACAATAAAGAAGCCGATATATTTTGCAACCTCAAAGCCAGTAGCAATAATGAATAAAATGCACGTGTTTCAATCGTTTTGCCTCGAGAAAAAAGGCATGGGATGCAAACCTTCGGAAAAGTCCTTTCAGTAAGATCGAACCTGTTGTGTGAGAAAACGAGCCCAGCGCAGTAGGCAGCTGAGCGCCACTTTGGAGAACGTCCATGAAACAAGGCTGGCAGAGAGAGATGGTCTTCTGCTGCTAAAAAGCCCCAGCACTGCCTGCAAAACAAAAGAGGCTGATCTTGTGACAGCGATCGTTCCAGTGACTTTGCTTTGGTTATGCCCAATAAATGCAGCGGTTTCCTCTACCTTTGGACACAAGTGCAGCGAAGCGCGAGGTCAGCACCGACACTGTGCCGGCGCAGGGACACCCTCCCTGGCCTACACCCCGCTCCAGCAAAACGTGTCAAGCAAGGGGGTGTTCACAGGTGTATTGGTGAGCGTGGGCTCACGCTTTTGGGGGGATCAGAACCGTAAGTCCCTATTCTCAAAAGCCAGTAAATACCCACTTAAACCTGTCAATCACCCACGTAAGCACAGGTTGGGTGTCACACACCTATTCACACGCTGTCCTGGGTAACAAAACTGTTCCAAATAAGGGTCTTCAAACACACGTTGTTTGGCTTCAGGAATAAATCAATTTGCCCTTAAAACTATTTTGTTCTTGTCTGTGCCAAGTATCCCTTTTTCTCATTTCAGGTACTGCACCTTCGGTGAAGGTTTCAAAGAGGTGACAGCCTAACGGAGACATCCCGCGGCGGGTGCATTGGTAGATCGGTCTGGAGACCTGAGCATTTTCAACAGCTGGTGCTTTCAAGCATAAAAATATTGTGCGCTTAAAGGGGAGGCAAGATGGAAGGCGTGAGAATCCAGCCCTCTCACAGCGCAAGGAGATATTCAAGGTCAGGCCACTCTTTGCAATGATTCATTTGAAATGCCTTCTGTCCGTTATGCTTTCTCCTTTTAACCCCAGTCAAGTCACAAAAGGATGCTTTAAAATGTTTTTTTTTCCCCAAAATATTTCTTTGATTAATGAAGTAAAATAGAAAATAACACAAAATACACTCCATCGCTGAAGGTCAATAATTGGAGAGTAAGAACTCTCCCCACAGAAGATCAGATAACATAATGGCAGACTTCTTTACAACAAACCCCAATTTTATCCAATAAAAATAATTTAGTAACAAATGTCCAGTCTCAGTTTTGATAGTAACCCTACATTCAAAATATTCTTCAACCCAAGAAAAGCCCACAAAGCAAGTCTACAAAAGCTAATGAACCCAACAACTTCTTTAATCTTTACACAATGAAAAATAAATGTATTTTTACCAATTCAATGGGGGGGCAGCCCACATTCCACATTCTTTCATGAAGCAAATGTTTCAAAGATAAGAATTTGAATTGTTGATGCTTTCAAACTCGTATCTCTGAAGACTTAAAGCAGTGAGGACAGGGCAAGGAAAAAAAAAAACCATAATATTTTTATGTAGCTGCATAAAATTCAATTTGCCAAGGCAAGCAATCATAGCAGGTGAATAAAATACCATTCATATTTTCATTACCAGGCTAAAGGCAGCCAAGCTGATTTTTGTGCCTGACATTTTCTTGACAATTTTGCAATGCTTCAGTAAGGCAATTATTATGAGATGTAGGCTTCTGCCCATTGCTAATATTTCTCTTTAGATCCAGCAACACACTGGTTGACTGAGGGCATTTGAGGGAAAAAAGTGCTGGGATTCATTTACTGTGCACATATGAAGATAAACTGAAGGCAGTGTAATTATTCACATGCAAAAGGCGCAGGATGGATGACCACTTTGCATTTAGCAGCACAAAACCTCTCCCCTCCTTTTCTTTCTTTTAGCTAATGATATTTTGTGTTCAGAAGTAGGCACGAACCCAAACATTCAAAGGCAAAAAAGGAAAACAAAAAAAATCATTTTTTCCCAACTAACTGAAGCCTCTACATTGCACCTAACAATACATACCATTTCATTTGTACGTGTGGCCACCTATGTAGTTTTGCTTTCCTGCTGTCAGGTAGTTAATTTCGGCAGTTTCTCTCACAAACACCAACTCTCGACTGTAGTGTGTGCTCAAGAGCAGGGGTGGCTAGACAACCCGGTGTAACACAGGCGTATGCCACCCTAGTGAACCTCCACCCAGGTGAGTACGGCTCTCTACTTGTTATCTCAAATAAATAAAAATGGAAATTCTCTTAGGGAAAATTTGGGAAATGTTCCCTCCACTAGATGTAGCAGATATTTATATTTTCCTCATCAGTTAAACCTTTTTTACATGGCTACCGTTACAGCAGCTTATGCATTTGTCATTCGTTGTACTGCACAGCAGAGCTATTTCCTAGGCTGCTATGGGATGGGAATCTGACAGATGTTGGCTGCTTTCTGATTAGCTACTCTATTATTTTATCTTTTGTCAGTATTGAAGATAAGGACAACCACTGACCATCTAGGATGGCCTTCTGTATTCATCTGGTACAGTGCACCTACTGTATACCTTGGGATGGTGCAGTGTCATACACACTTGGTGAATTCATATAATCGTGGAATTCAATCTCTTTTGGAAGCCATTGCTTTTAGTTATCAAGAAAACACTAGCATATTGAATTTCCTCCCCAATGGAGCATTTTTGAACGTGAAGGCATTTTTAGCTAGACAGTAGAAAGGAGAACCAGACCAGAAGCAGGGCAGTGAGGTCATCAGAGAGCTGCTCTTCCCCCAGAAGGCCTTTAAATGATTAAATACATCAGCAGCTGAAAATTATTCCACATCAGAAGCATCATTGTCAGAAAGATGGTAATTACTTCCCTTCACCCGAATATACTCGATATACCGCCCTTCATCAGAATCTGACATACCACATGTACATAGCCTGTTTTCAAACAAAGATTCAATTTCCTCTAGTTTTTTCCCTTTAGTCTCAGGAAGGCAGCCGTAGATGAAAACCAGTCCCAAGGCAGCAAACCCTGCGTAGAGGAAAAAGGCTCCTGCAACGTAAAAAAAATAGGCACAGTCGGTTACAGAAGTTCCTGTCCCTTCTCTGCTCCAGAGCGGCAGAAGCAGCAGGCTGCAGATATCAAAGGAGTGCATAAAAGCAATGGTTGGAGCGGCATCGTTAAAATAAACGAGCTGCGGGGCCGTGGGTGTAGGAGAAGGCCGCTTTATTGCATCGCTCCACAACGGAGTAAATTAACAAAAGCAATTTCATTTCTTGTGGAAGATAATACACACCTTTTTTGCACAAGTCATTCTGCTATTAAAATAAACAGCAATGAAGTGGTTGTATATCCAATAGAAAAAGCAGATACGAAAGGCAAGAACTTTCTTAGTTTGTCTAAACACCAAAGGACACACTAAGACAACCCCTCGGAATAAGAAACTTTGGCAAAAAAGAAACAGTCAGGATTAAAATAATGTTTGTGACTCTTACACCTAGTTATTACTTAGAAGTCCTCTGCAGAGACAATTAGCAGTGAGAAAGAGCTCTTTCCCCCCACCACCCACCTTACCTAGGGGGGCAGAGAAGGTACCAAAGGACCAAGAAACATTTACCTGCCATGTGTTTCTAGACTGATGACTCAAAGGAATGACAAGTAGAGCTGAAAGGCTCTGTACTAGTAATGACATGAAGGTCACATCAACTCCCTAGCAGCTTAATGTAATTTAAATTACTTGTACTGGAGTGGCTGAGCAGTAATCTGACAAACTCTCCGCAGGCTCCAGCAGACAGGACTTAATCAACAGCTGGGAGTGGGGCAGTAGCATCTAACACAGCTATTTCTGCAAGGACCATCTGATATTGGCCTCGGATGCCATCATAAGCTGAAAAATTGCAGATGCTGTCTTCTTAAGTGGGAATCAGCATATTTCACTCAGTCAGAAATGTTTTTTTCCAGCTTCCCTGATTTAATCAACTGTCTAGGTTCTCACTTAAGGACAGAGAGAAATGTTTCTTATGAAATCTGGACCAAACTCTATGATCCAGGCAGGTCATATCAGGTCTCTAGTCTTACTAAACCATGGTGGGTTGAGAACACTGCATTCACAGTTGACATTTCATAGCAAAACCGAGTGACCCAGAATCAGGAGAAAGTCTATGCACCAATGGTAGTACCGCACACACAGATGCATACTGTTTCTTACCATAGTACGTCAGATATTCAGCCGTATGCAGAAATGTCAGTGACACAAGCACATTGAAAACCCAGTTGACTCCAGAGGAACACGCGTTTCCTGTGCTTCTAGCCCAAAGTGGGTAAATTTCAGAATTGACGGTCCAGGGCATAGGACCCATCCCTAAGAATAAGGAAAAAAGATCAACCTCAGTTTAATGGCTGGACTTAAGAGTAAGTTTAACATGTAGCCTCATTATTTGACATTTTTCCTTTACAATTTTTTAACTTATATGCGTAAAAAAGTGTTTGCTTACCAGGTGCAAAGAAAACCAAGTATAAAATAAGGCCCAGAAGTGCTGTCCAAGAGTATGGAGTGGGGCAGAAATTGTATGCCCAGAACAAATCTTCCTTTTTGAATACTGTTTCATTTGAACACCTGAAAAATAACAATGAAACTTACTATTAAAGAATTTTCAGGGAAATGGGTGACATCTCAACATAAACATGGCACATAATGTCTTATGAAAAGCTGAAAAATGTAAAGTTAAGATAAAAAAGCTCCATCCCTGTTAATTTATCAAGATCTTTGAGTCAAGTCCTACATTCAGAAATGTGCTTTTTCCCAAGCCTAGTCTCAGGAAGAGTAACGAGCAGAACATTCCTGAACTTAAACACTTGCCTTGTATCTACAGATCTTCTTCAAATGAATAGTCTTTACTACGCAAGGGGTCACACCAAAACCAACGAGACCATTCACATGAATATCACACAGCGAAAAAAGAGCTGCAGCAGCAGGACTTTGAGCTAAAGATGCTGCACACAAGTATTTAAGGTCAAATGGAAGTTAGTCCTCACGTCATTGATGAACTAACTCTATGCTGCACACTTTGACTGTAATCAGCAATGCCTATGGAGTGTGCCAAGGTCAAGTGAAGCTATAAGGAATAGAGGCGTATACTTTCTTTTCTACGCAGTGAAGTATTTTAGAAGAAGGTAGCATTTCTAATTAGACAGTAAAAATAAGAATCAGACCAGAGGTAAACTGTGCCTGAGCTACTGAAAGGAAAAGTGTCTCTATTCCAAGGACTATGTGGAAATTATGTATTTCAAGGAATAGGTATCAAATCAGGTATTTCCACCTGACTGCACACAATATAGTACATTTTTAAGTAAAACTGGCAACTTTATTTTTTGTTATATTTTTTTTTAATTAGCATTTGTTTAAAGGGACAAGAAGTCCTAACTGTAACTAGAGAAACTTTTCAGCTGCAACTGCATCAATTGCTGCAGTTGAAAAACCATGCACATTTGGCAGAAAAGACTTAGGCAGACACCACCCTTTCATATGCAAATGTCATTTACTTGAAGAGAAGAAATCACAGAGAGCTGAACATCTGCCTGGGTTACAATTTCCAGATCAGCTGAGTGCTTAATGTGAAGGATATGACCCTCTCGACAGAATGAAAACCAGAACGAAGATGCCTGCATCAGGTGACAGCTGGGCAATGAGTGGTGAGATGGTGGAGCAATAGACACCCTGAAATGCTTCAGCGGATCTACCACCATTGCAGTTGACTTTCAAAAGCAAATTCCAACAAAACACTTCTGCTCTAACTTTTCTGTTAAGAAATGACCAGCCAGGCCCAGGTTGAACAGGGATGTATGTGCTAAGCACTGATGGCCAACCCATCACTGCCCCTGAGGCAGAAATCTTCCTTATGTTGGCATGGATGTATGAGCAGGACAGCATTTAAAGCAGGATATCACCATGAAGTCTCAAACCTAATTTCAGGACAGCTGGAAATCCAAAGTTCAAATACATTAAAAGAGGCAGGTTAACCCAACAAATACTGGAAAAGCACATGTCCGAAACCTCAGCCAAACCCTAACGCTGCCTTACTGGCAGTAAGCTGTAAGATTTGCAGTTCCACCTTGCCCTTGAGCAGCACCTGACTCAGTGGAGCCAGCGCTCCCCAGAGATGTGCTTGCCCTTGACGTGCTGCCGGCAAAGCAGCCGGTGCTGGCGTGTACCTTTCCACCCTGCCACCGCCTTGCCTTGCTGACCTCTCCCAGAAAGCCCATCTCATCCAGTGCATACAGATTCACCTTCAGTCTTGAGGTGAAAAACACACAGAGAGCAGGCCAACTGAACATCCCTCTCAAAGATGCATCCCTTATGCCCGGATACAACAGGCTCGTGGCCTCAGCTATTGCCTGGCCTGGAGCACCCATCAGCCTAAGACACCAACAGCTTCCATGACGGAGATTTTTCACCTTTTCTCAGCCGAAACTACTGCTGCCACCCTTACTGCTTCTAAGCATGACCTCAGGTTCCTTCTTCTGTCACTTTGCTCTTTCATGGCTCAGCTCAGCATCTCTTTCTACGTTATGAGTGAGAGACATGGATCATTCCCTGTTAGTGCCCACCGTGACGCTTCCCTGCCACTCTACGTACTCCTCACCGTGTGTGGGGTAAATCAGGTTTGAGCTGTGTTTCAGGTACAGACGTATAGAAGAATGAACTGTGCTGGAGAACCATCCATATGTTTAAACCGGAAGTTCCTTAACATTAAGGAAATGGTGTTTGAAAGATTAATTACTGAAGACAGGGTGATCCCATTGCCACCTCCTGCTCAGCCCCACGTAGCTGCCCACTCTGCATCTGCACCGCTGTGAGATCACAGGATTGCTCAGTTTCACACTGTTTTAATATCAGATTTTCTTCTTTCACTGTTACTCTAATTTGATTTGCAGGTGTTTGGTAATGAATACAAGCTGATTAGCATTTTAAAACATATTGACGCTGAGATTGGTTTCTCCATTCTGCCCAGCCAGATTGGCAGCTCCTCAGAGAGGAGCCTCATGCTTTCTCTGGAACGCTTCTGTAAACAAAGACGTACTTGGTTTATTATCTTGCATCCATCTCCATCAGCGCAAACCAACCTGCTGATTCATACAGATACAACCACCGGGAGGTCTAGATGTTTCCTTCCCCTACCGTCTTTCCCCAGATGTGTCCTACTTTTGACACAGTGCAACACAAACGATACGAAGGAAAACCAGATGCCTCCAAAGCCTTCTGTGGCTGAAGCCACTCATCTATTCTCTGCTGTCTGCCCATAACTGAGAGGAAATTCTGTTGCAAGAAAGCAGATTCAGCTCATTGAAACAGGAAAAATAGCGCTCGAGACTAGATTTAACAGCAATCTTGCAGTAATAAACTGTGCTTTGCTTATCCTTCAGCAGTAAACCAGCGTGGTACACAGACTAAAAGCAAAGATGTCTGCATTTTCTGGCCTCTTGCAGTGCTGGGTACAATCAAAAATAACACTCCTTCAAGGCTAGGGATTTGTTCAAGCTCTGTTACTGTGCTAATTCTACCGCTATGCTATTATGTCTACAAGATCTATTATTTTTCTGAAAAATATATTGATAATTACTGTATAATGTATTATCAGATAAAATTCTGAATTCTGTCCTGCACGAAGGGAGCGTCTATGATGGAAAGCAGAGGAGCAGCTACCAATCACTTCACAAGCTGAAATGCACAGAGGAAAATGCCCTGTAAATGGCTTACAAATGATGCAGTTGGGTACCAGCGCAAAGAGTTTGTAAATACCAATATGCTGCGTAATAGTCCTATCAGTATAAACAGTGAAGACACACCATATCATTTCCGCTGAAATGACTGCCAAAGTGAAAACATCATAGCGCTATATTGAAAATCTTTACCATGAATTCCTTTTGTTACATATTTTCCACAGATACTTTAAGATACACATCTGTTCTAATTAGTGAAAACCTGACCTTCCAACAATTGATGTGCCCAATTCAACTGACTAGAAATAAATCAGAACAGCAATAGATTTCTAAATTACAGGCATTATATGGTTTCATAATCACAGCATCCATCCTTTGTCAGATATGGTCTGTAGTTCACAAGATCTAAAGCTTTGCTCCCCACCTCCCTAAATTACCTTCATATGGCACATAAAAGAAGGTAAGAGAAGAAGAGCTGCTGTGAGTGGTCTAAAATGTCATTGCTAGTAACAAGAGGATGAAACAGCATAAGACCATTTTTTTGATAATCGATCTAAATTTTCCTAATACTTGAGCCGATGTGGCTGTAGAATAATTCTCAAGAGCAACACCGAAAATCACAGATGGGGAAATGGCTAGGCAGTACACTGCAGTACAGGCAAGTGAGACAACACAAGACAGAGATCCAACTGATTTTCTCCTCAAATTTCCATTAATTTTTGCTTTGCTGTACAGTGAGGACTGTGTAGCCATAAAGATATGGCTTTTGTGGGAATTAAATGCTTCATTCTGAACAGTTCATATATTTTTAATATGAAAGCTACTGACTTCTCATTGTCTTTTAAGCACTTCAGAAGCAGCTTAAATGGATTTAGATCAAAAGTCTTAAAAGGTCAAAATTCAAATCAGGCTAAGGAAATAAATTACTTCTAGAGCAAATCACTAATATGATCATTCATCTCCTTAAAATGCTTGTTAGAACAGGCATATTTCAAAACTACACATTTTCCTCTGAGATAAACTTTAGTATCAGGTGCTGATGGTAGAGAAAGATTTTAGACCTAATTCACAGTTTCACTAATCCCCTATTTTCTTGTTCTAACAAGAGTAAAACTACTTAAGGACTGCTCTTATGCCAGACTTTTGTGTCTGGGTTATCAAAATGATGACAATCTACAATTTACCAACTTAGTCTCCGGTGTAACGCAAATATACTGGATTTAAAAAAAAAACTCCTTTAAAGAGATTTTCAAAGTCTCCTGTGTAGAGCGCTGACATTTATATCATGCCAATCCAACTGAATAATATACATTTACATCAAGCTTATTGACTTGCCTTTTCACCTGAAGCCCAGACATGGCAAGGACAGAGGATAAAACACACATAATTTAGAGTAGCTACTCTTTGGACTGAGAAAGGTTTTTGTGGAAGATGTTTGGGAACATCGAAGATTATTTATCCACAAGCAATTACACATCCTGAGGAAGAATCTAGACCTTGACATTTGGGTTAGTTCTCACAATTTCAAGCCCCTCTTTTTCTGCTAAAGATATTTAGTTGTCTGAACAGATCCCTAACTATCTTTAAATTACTTAAGGGACAGAATTTAGCAAGGTACCAGATTAACTGTGTAACAATTTAGTAGTAGCAGACATGTAACTAAGGAGAGCTTTGGAAACTGCCTCTACCCTGTCCATCATGTGGCCTCTCCGATCCACCCATGTACATTCAAAATAGTTATATTAGCACAACCCATAGAAACCAGTGAAGCCATAAGGTGTAGTTTAGTAGACAGCAGAGTATAGAGTACAGCAGAGAAAAATCTCTGCTCCTTTCAGTGCTTAATTTTTATATATACATACGGTAAGATGCTATCTGAAGTATCCAGCAAAGCGT